ACAAGGTTCTCTGCTTCTTAAATTGTTCCCAATTATCATCACATTTAATTCTCTTAAATTTCTTGAAAAGGATGTTACGCCTGTAAATTGCAGAGGTGATCTCAGGAGTAATCTAGGGCAGCTGATCGCCTCTGATGCATTTCCTTTTGAAAGGCAGGTGTTGATCAACAGCTTTGATAAATAGATGATGCCAGTGCTCGTAAATATCATCAATTTCATCATAAATGTTGACTGAATACTAGGGGATTGTACTAAGATCAGCTATATAGTAATCTCTTTCGAAACCCCTCATACTTCCATATTCAATGGACTTTGGTGAGGGTCGAAAAATTTTCTGCTTCCGAATAGTGAAGTTGAGGTTGTGGTCACTGAGACCTAATTTCATTTTTCCACTTAAAGCAAAGCATTCCGGGTCACCAGTAAAGATGAGCAGCAAGCATGTTAAAATTCAGATCACTAATGATGAGCAGTTCATATCTAATGTTGTACAAATATTCGGCCGCAGGAAATAATGATGGAAGAAAATCAATTGGCTTGTTTTTGGTTGGAAACCTGTAGCATGCTAGAACAATGAATCTTGAGTTGTTATGGCCCTTTCCATCGATACATATAGACTCCATATATATTTGTTGGTTCCAATTTCGATCGCCTACAGGCAGAAACAATGTTCTTGATGTACACCAACAGGCCACCGCCTCCCTTTTTCCGATCCCGCCACAACATCCTATAATGTGGGTATTGCAGATGAAAGCTATTATATGTAGAGTCCAACTTGGTTTCCGAGATGGCAAGAATGTGAAATAGGCCTTCATTCAGCAGTAATTTAACTGCATCAATCTTATTCCAAATACTATTAATGTTTATGCGGGCTATAAATATGTTGTACTTATAATGAGACAATACATTTGTCTTGTAATTGGCTATTTCATCCACCTGAGATTCGCCACTAGAGACCATAGAGGAGTCAATAGACGAGTTCAATGTCGAGTTCAATGTTTTATTAGAGGAGAAAAGAACTGATAATAGACAGGGTGGACAGATCCAGCTAAAGTCATCCATCTGTTGGAAGTCTATGTACTGCTTTGGAGTAACATCACCACACTTTATGTGGCACCATGAGTCACACTGGTCGCAACTTAATGCTCGATGGTTTCAAGCAACAGTTTTGAGGCAAACGACGCACTTTTCGAGCCGTGGATTTACAGTAATATCGCCGCTAACAATCAGACGAATCAAGTGAAAGCTGCAATCCGAATTTGAGTGGTAGTTGACTCTTGAAGCAAAATGTCCTTTGCCAAGAGGGAAGGATACAAGATGGCGGACATGCTTGCAAAGGCATGCATACTGCTTTTGTGGTGGAATTCCAACTGTGTCGCCACCAGAATTTGACCGGGTGTGGAAAAGACCACTCCCGAGGATTCCCAATGTATTTTTACTTGCATACGATGAAGAAAGCGCTAGAAAAATAAAAAAATAGACAATACTGATAACATAAGGAACACGGGACACTCGACGAAAGAGCAATTTACCTGGCGATTTTGGAATACGGCTGCTTCAGAAAGTACTTGCGATTACCTTTTGCTCAAGCTAACATCGTTATGTTTGCATGATCTGCGCGAAAGTCAAACTTACATGGATAGCCGCACGGACTGGGACTAGGAGGGGGACTGGTCTCTACAAGGCCTTCGCCCTTTCGGACTAACGATTCCACGTCAGCTGTTTTACTCTTTAGACCACAGTTTCTTTAGAAACTTACCCCTTTATTCCATTGGGAAGAACTTACTTTGGCCATGGGTTCCTTCGGTTGTGACGAATGCATGGATATTCCCATTGAACTGGAGAGGGAAAAGAAGGACAAAATCATCCACAAACATTTCAACCGAGGAGGTGATCAGTACGTTTCCTTCTTTTACCGCGGCATTTCAGTACGGATGGTCCTAGAAGAATTCAAAGCCATGCTTCGGGCAGGTATTCTGAGGGGAGAACCTGGGCGATTTGGAAGATTGATATACCACTGCTACTTTCATGATGGAATAGGCACTTTCGCAATTAAACATCCACGCGGAATCATTAAACACTATGAAACCCGTTATGTGAGAGTTATTTGCGACACGATAAAATGCCGTAATTGTGGTCGTCTTGTACCGAAGTGGGTAGTATCGATGTACCCAGAATTCTACAACGGAAGATCTTAGGGGAACGAAGCTTAAATTCAGAGTAAATGTAAAAGTGTTAGATTATCTCTGACTCAAAAAAACTGATACATTTTTTGTGTTTTGAGATTTTTTACGCCACATGTTTGAGTTGTAAAATACAGTCTTATAATTGTGGCGAAGCGTTTCACTTAATACTGGCAATGTTGGAAAGTAGACATACTGGAAATAAAGAACCAAATCACGTTCTGCAAGTCCACCAGTCTTTGTACGCAAGCTGATCCCATGAAGGAAGGGTTGGTGAGAAAAGTAATTTTGAAAATGGATAACTGAGAATGATCATGCTAAAACTTTCGGGAACAAAAAGTTGGATAAATTTCCAGCTGAATCAGTACTGAATGAGTAATGTAATACCACTGATATATTTAATCTCGACATATTCCGAAGACATTTTGCATAACTTGTTCAGTCGAAAATACTTTTTAGGGAACTGACTTGTAACAGAGAGTATTATTATATCATTCAGTTCTTCAAATGAAGTATGTAGTCCAATTCCAGTAACATTTTCGAAATTCGGTTGGGCAAAGATTCGTACGGTAAAACTTCCCATTCAAGATAGTATGATGAAGTTATGTAAAAAAAAAGACATTTCTAGGCGAGTAAGGAGGCTTGTTTCAACTCTCTCCCAATTGCTTCACTTCTGAAAGCCACTGCAACTAATTAATATCCTTCTTTGAGGGATTCCTAAGTGAAAGAGAAGGGTGACGAGGCTACCTTTGAATTCTAAAAACTCAAGGTTAGGTTTCAAAGACTTGTTTTGTCTCGCTCAGCTTTAGCTTAAAAGTTTCTACTGAAAGCAGAAAGTTAATTTGCACGATGACGGTTGATCGGGAGAAAACGATTGCTGATGGGTAGTATTCCCACATTAAGTTTCAAATCTTTGCAATCACACTGTAAAATGAAGAGAGCTAAACTGACCCAAAAAGCCGAATTGGTCCCCGATGTCTTGAGGGATAATTTGGCCCCCACGAGGTTCGTTTTGGACTATTTAAGCCAAAACGGGTCGAACAGGTACCATTTCGACCTCTCCAAAATCTGAATTGGCCCAAATGAATACCACTTTGGAACTTTTATCGGTAGGATTTACCAATTTGGCCCTAAGAAGGTGCAATTCTTGAAATGACTGATAATCAACCCAAAACTGTCAACAATTTTGGTCACATAGAAGTCCCATCACGGCTTGAACGACACAAGGACGTAAGGATTCGGGAATGTTATAGGGGCCATATACCGGTAAAAGTAGATCTTTCACACGGTCGAAACCGGCCCAATAAACAATTGATTGGCTTACTCAACTTTAAGCTGTGCATTTTTTTAATAAGTAGAATTTTGTTATATAAGAGATTTCTCTCCAAAATGCGTCCTTCTTTTGCTAGTGCGTCTTAGCAGCTCCTTCTGCGTACCACATTAGAACCTTGACCGCGTGCGTCGGACACAGCGATGAATTATAGCTGCGAGTTCCATCACTGAAGAGGTTGTTTCTTGGCTCCAGTCGCATGGAACGAGACTTAAGAAAGGATGGGTAAGTGAAAGAAATTTGTTTAACAATACGTTTTATTGCAACTTTACATACACAAACTTAACCGCTCCATTGATTTTTGTGCGTATCTTGTATTGCAGAGAAGAATGGTTGCGATGGCCAAGATCTCGTTGTCATTGCCCAAGAAGCAGACGAATCAAGGTACTGCTTCTCTATTTTCAGGAAATTGATTTCAATGAACGCTGAACCGAGAGATGACACGAATTCTTCGTCGGTACGATTATTACAGATAATTTAATGCATGCGTGGTTTCGCCTTTTCCCCTGAGCCTTGTTGAGTCTCAGCGGTTTCACAACTAGGGTCATGTGTTCTAATTTTGGCGCCGAGAGATAAGGACGGCTACGTTTCGAATACTGCGTTTGTATAAGATGGATTTGACTTATTTCAAGATTCTCTGATTTTAGGATCTCTCACTCTGAATTTCACTCACTTTTTTTCTTGCAAAGATTAACTAATATTTTTATGTCTATGTCTTTGTTTGTATCAAGTCTTTCGAGTAAGACGTTTCAAAGAGCGAGTTTAGAAGTGACATCGGCACCGAAAGAAAAGAGTAAATCGCCCAAGGATCTCTGTTTTACGAAAGAGGCAACAGAACTGAGTAATGTGTAAGTAAGTTCCTATATATTATACTTAGTAGGATGGTGAAGAATGCATCATCGATTACTCTCTTTCGATTGTACCCCAAAGGAAAACGCAAGGTGTCATTAATTTGGTCAGTTAAAGAGGAGAAATGTTAGGGAAAGCACCCACAAAAAATGGTGAGATTTGCTATATTTTTATTGGAATATACTAGAAACGTATTTACTTGCGCTATGCACAGAGTAAAGTAAACCCAATGTTTAAATGTGGTAAATCAAAAAAATTAGCGAATTGATAGGATGTTATCAGACAGTTAAATATTTTGGAAAACAAATATTTACCTAGGTTCCTCCTGGATGGCTTTCAAAATTCCAACTATCGTCGAGGGTGAGAAAGTCTTTTGTATTTTTTTAAGTCTAAAAGCTATCCTTGTTAATTCGTGAATACTGTACTAAAGCTGAAGTGCCTAGAGGTATGATTTCTTTTCTTGATAGGTACATATGTAGTTTGGTGAAAGTACATCATTGATGATCATTGAACCATAATTGTGTTTTTTTTCTTTTTATGCACAGTTTGTTTACATATATGGAAACTTTGTGGTTGCAAAAAATTATTGTTCTCCAACAACAAATTAATTTTCTCATTTGTTTATTTTTTGTACAGTTCTCTGCCTCAGTAGAGTTGGATATCCAGGAGGAATATCTCACCAGAAACCTTGTATGGCTGGCTGGAGACAATTTTATGGTGCTGAATCTCTTGCCTTAAACTAACAAGGTGCAGAATAATCACTCTGACATATGCATTGAATGAAGTTGTGACCATTTTGGAGGTATGAGTCCAGAAAACTGCTACCTTGGTACAAAAATGAACAGCTTAAATTTCTGAGCCCATTTCCTTATGAAGTCCAGATACAAAAGTTCAATTACTTGGGGGTTGTATTTCATTTTGCCTTCTTTTTATTCAGTTTTTTTGATTGAGCAATTTTTTTTTAAATTTCCTGTTGTCAAACCATTAGATAAATATTGCACATCGAATAGCTGATTCTTTTCAAATATTTTGGGAGTCATGCTTTTTTTTTTCAAGCCTTGAAAGGGAGACAAATTACAAGCATGGAGCCAAATTTCCACTTCAATTTCTAGTGTTTAGGCTTATAGTTTTGGAAAAAAACATACATATATATATATATATATATATATATGAGTAAATAAATCAAAATGAGGGGAGTAATCTGAGTAAATAAAATGAAATGTCAACTAAAAATGGCAGACTAGCAGGCAATTTTTACAGGCTACAGGCACTTTTTGCACTTTGGCTTTATTTAAATATGGTTGTAAAACTTTTTTTTATTGCATAGTGAAGCTGATGTTGATTCAGTAATCAGAGATTATGTCCAGCACAATTTGTAATTGTTGGAGATCTTCAATACATCGATCTCCTGTATATAGTAACAGAGTGAAGTGTAATTTGTCACCTCCCGTAAGAAAAAATTCTGGATACTCTCATTGGGTAACTTGGCTCCTTTATATTTTCAATGTTTCTTATAATCAATCAAAGGCAATTTTGACTTTTTTAGAGCAAGCATGACTTGAAATTGGGCACAGGCAGACTCTTGTAACTATTTCCTCTATTTTCAATGACTTGGCAAATGCCTCAGGTAGTACTTGCTGAAAGTTCATATTTTGATAATATCTAAAGTAGCAATATGAGTGCATGTATTCTCACATCCACTAGAAGAGTACTAAATGCTGCTCTAAGGCTCTTTGTTTTTGGTATACACAAATCAAACAACATCTATATTCTTGTGCAGGAACTGGACCATTTGTTGCTTCTGTCTTTACATTATCACATTTGCTAAGTCACTGGAAAGGGAAGCTTTACTCACAAGTGTCTCTTGGGTGTAATTTCTCGCAATGCTTGCACTGTTAAGAAGTATACTGATTTAGGGAAGAAATCTATTTTAGAAAATGGTTGAATTAATGTTAAATATGTATATATGTTCTATTCTTTCGCACAATGTTTCAAAGTTTGTCTGTTTTATACCACAATTAAGATTCTTGATAACTGTAAAATCATGCAATGTAAAAGGTTTTTACATAAACAATAATTATTTATACCCTAATAAACAAGTGTGTGAAAGATAAAGCATGTGGTATATTTTTATTATGACTGTAAGGGGGGAAATCAGCACAGAGAGGAAACAGCCCTCTACTTCTGAAGTGGCCCACATTGGAGCTGAATTGGCTATTTTTAAGGGGGTCGTTTGTGAGAGGGCTGAAATTTTGGGGGCCATTTTGGCACCCTTTAAATTCTAATGTGGCCCCAGTATTTTCCAAATTGGCCCTTCTCATGGTCCAATTTGGCCCTTACAATTGAGTCAATTTAACTCAAAAATGGTGCCAAAAACAGCCCCAATTCAATGGGGCTGAATTGACCCCAAGCCAGTGCCAAACTGGACTCGCTTGTTTTGGCCCCAAGAAACTCAACATTTGGGCTAAATCAACTCTTTTCATTTTACAGTGCACCATGGGGATATTTCTGAATCCAAGCAGTGTAGTACTATCTTTGATCCCCAAAGGCTGAAAATTGAAGTAAATTCCATCATAATACTGTAATGGAACGTGACAGTTTGAAAATCCAAAACTCAAAGATTTTTTTAAGGTCACTGCAATAGATAAAAGCCATAGTTATTATTTGAGAATTATCTTCTACATTTTATTAGTCTTAAAATTGTGTATTATATGTAATTATTACCATGTCTGTACTTGTATGAGTGGTTTACTGGGCTTGTGAGACACCACTTGGAGTGTTGTCTTTGTTGGAAATGGTTGAATGCTCTATATTTTATGTAGTTTGATTGTTTGTGTGTGATTTTTTACAGCAACCTGTGCAGAACGCTTAATGTCAAGCCCAGCCACTAACCTATCCAAGGATGGGTTGCAAATGGCTCTGTGTGGAAAGCTCTAGGAGTGGGGAGGGTATGTTATTGGACCCCTTGTCTAACTGGCAGTTTTCTTTGAGGCTGGAATGGGCTTGTGGTCAAGTGTCAAAAGCATGCCTTTGTGGGAGAGGGGGCTCTATTGACATTGCAAAAACCTGATGTCTAGGTTGTTGCCTTAAGGTGGGCATCACCATAGTGACTCTGCCTACACTTTAAATGAAAAGTCTTTCATTAATGCATTACTCATTTGGCTACAATGTCTAACTTAATAGAAAATTTGTTAAAGATTTGACAGATTACACTGACTGACGTGTCGTTGGTGTCGATGATTATTTGATGTTTGCTAGTAAATGTGAAGAATTCCATTACTGTAAACAGAATAATTGCTATTGGTCGGTTGGTTGCAGCAAATCGATAAAAACAGCCTATTAAGATTGGTCTGATCAAGGTGGAAATTCTCTCAACGAAGCATTAGGATGGAGAATGGATTCAAGTAAGGAGAAATTGCAAAGAATGTCACAGGTGTTTCAAGGGCAGATAGGATGGGGTTTTCAGTATTACTCAATTTTTTTTCGAGACTCACTGAAATCAAGGGGTATTTAAGACAGTTAAATGGCAGCCATAAAATTTTGTGCAGTCATCTTTTTGGTTTATCTTGCCATTGGTGCTATGCTAGAAGATTGTTTCTGTCATTTACATTAAATTTTCATCATGGCTTTCAGGTTATCCGAAGGTTTGGAATTTCGGTTGGATGAAAATTGATCGCTAAAATAATAGCTTGGAATATCTGAATTTATCTACTTTTTATCACATCTCAATTTCTCTTATGAAATTCAACAATCTTTTCCAAAACACAACAAAAATGAACAAACCAAATAGGAATACTGCAAACACACAACTAAAACAAACCAAAATGAAGTGAAACAACAAAATTTCAAAGTACTGGTGAGTAAGCCTGTTGCTGAAAGTGACCAGAACCTGGGACTAGCTCTGGCTACATGCTGCAAATTAAGGCGCCATATTTGTACCATTCATGTTGAGGAGTTGAGCTAAATTGGCTTCTTCAAGTTCAGTAAGCAATCATCCAGAAGAAGAAAGCATAACTTCATAGTATTTTTCAAGAGTATATACGTATTAAGGTATCACTAAATTTTTAGCGAAGTGTCATGGCATTGCGACGCGTGGACAAACATTGAAAAAGTACAGTTTGTAGGTTGAAGCATTTTAACTTTAAGGAGAAGGTTGCCATATTTTGACATGAACGTTGTCTAGGAACAAATCATGAATGAACTTAGTGGCCCAGGATTTCCAATATGTGGTTGTATTGATGGATGGAGTCAGAAAATAATGTGGCTAACAGTCACAAGGTTGAACAACCATTCAGAAATTTATTATTTTCAATTTTTATTTGAATTGTGTTGCAGGGTTAGAAGGCTGTCCAGTGAAACTGAGGGCTGACTGTGAAACAGAAAATGGTGTAATGGCAGCTCTACAGTGTACATTTCAACAAGATGCAGAAGTGCACAAGTATGGGTCATCTCCAGTGAAACAAAGGATTGAGGGCTGGTGGGTATTTTACAGAAGAAACAGTTGTTGTAAAGCATGTAGGAAGCAGCAAGAGTATTAAAGAAGTGCTTGAGTGCTCAAGCCGCTTCTTAACCCTTTAACTCCCAAGATCTCACTATTAATTCTCCTTACTATCTGCCATTCAGTTCTTGTGATGTAAGTTTTGAGAATTTGGTATTGTATCAACTTACAATCTACTAATTGATATTTTTCTTTGTTCTCGTCAAATGTCTACTTGATGTTGTAAAGATATAAGGAGAAATTCTGTCTTGGTCACTCATGGGAGTTAAAGAGCTCAGTGCTTTACAATAGAACAGAGCACTGTCAAGGCTTTTCTATTTGTTTTATAATAAAGAATCCATTAAATTGCCCACATATTGCTTTCAATTTTCAAAACAAACTTTAGGTGATAAATTATGACTGGTCCCTAATAGGGGCATAGTTTTTTTTTTTTTTTGTACTAAATTTGTCTTCCCTCTAATTTTGCCCACTCCTGTTTGTTTCACAGTGCCTCTTTTGAGTCAGTTTTTGTTTTGTTTCAGAGACATTAAGCCATCTTAGATATGATGCAGTTGGTCAAAATGCTTTCTTAGTCTTTATACAGTAAAGATATTGTGGCACTTTTTAATAAACAAGGACATCCTCTGAGATTTTCTTGAATTCGTGGTTCAGCCCTTTGAAATGAGAGTGACTCTTAAATGTAGCATGCATTTAAATTGAGTATTTAAAGTGATCACAGAAGACAATCATGATGATTAAATAATAACTCCAAATGAAAACAAAAGCAAAGCCTACTTTTCAAAGAGCAGGAAGGCTTGAGTGATTAACCTACTACACTCCAACATCATAATGTATATTCTCCATACTGTTCTATATTTACAAGAATAATTTGTTTGGCAATTAAGAGCTTCTTCAGTTGGTGATTATTTCCTCTACCCTCATGATCTTCCTGTTTGCTTCATGGTTGATAGTGTAAGGAGAAATTAGATGCTAATCAGCTCTCAGTGGTTAAAGTGTTGTCACCATTGGGTTGAGTATAGCATCTGACAGAGTGAGAGATTAGTGCAAGTTTGCTGGACCACTTATAGACCAAAGTGAAGCGATACCAATGTAATGGATACTAAGTTGAAAATTTCTTTATCTTGCAAGAAACCTTCAGTTACCTTCAGGTCTTCAGTCTCGCAGGACACCATGTGTTGCATGACATTCCAAATAACTACTGCACAGGAGTCAACAGACATGCCACACTGATGCTCTCTTCTCAGAGGCAGCCCAAGTGAGGCCTATACCCTGACATTAGGCAATGAAGATCTGTCTATGTACTGTTCCAAGAATGGGGAAGAGTTCGGAGACAGCATTGGTGGAGGATGGATGCTGGTCATGAAGATCAATGACAAACAGGTAATGCAAACATGTTGAGGGCTCCAAAATGCCATTAACTAATAGGATGTTCACTCTTTATCGCCTAGGAAAGGGAAGGGGGGTGGCACCGTTTTTGTTGTGTCCAATAAAATTTGCCTGATTCTCTTTCCCCCCCCCCCCCCACCTCAAGGGCTCTGTAATATTGTAATAACCCCCGTGCTGAAAACTGTGTGATTCTCCCCAAAATCTTCTGACACCCCCATTCCCAGGAGATAAATAAGGAGGGGTTCCTAATGGGGGCACTGTTTTTTAAGTTTTTGATATTCTCTCTAATTTTACCCACTCCTGTTTGTTTCATAGTGCTTCTTTTGATTCAGTTTTTGTTCTAAAGGAGATCACATTAAGTAATCCTTGCTAGATATATTGCAGTTAGTCAAAATGCTTTCCTAGTGTTCATACAGTAAAGATACCGTGGCACTTTTAACTCCAATTGAGAATACAAACAAAGACTTCTTTTCAAAGAGCAGGAAGGCTTGAGTGATTAGCCTTCTACACCCTAACAGCTGATCATAATGTACATTCTCCATACTGTGCTATGTATATACAAGAATCATTTGTTTGGCAATTAAGAGCTTCTTGAGTAAGTGATCATTTCTTTTACTCTCTTGACCTTCCTGGTGATTCAGGGTTGATAATGTAGGGAGAAATTAGATGCTAGTCAGCTCTTAGTGGTTTAAGGGTTAAATCATGATTGGGTTAAGTATAGCATCTGACCAGGTGAGAGATTAGTGCAAGTTTGCTGGACCACTCATAGAACAAAGTGAAGTAATACCAATGTAATGGATACTAAGTTGAAAATTTCCTTATCTTGCAGGAAACCTTCAGTTACCTTCAGGTCTTCAGTCTCTCAAAAATGGAGTCACCAGATTGGATCACTTGGAGACCCTGTTTCCAACCTACTGAAGCACTTCCTTCACCAAGATATACCATGGCATGAAGGTTGATGGGGTAACCAGGCTCTTGCAATTGGGTCAAGAAGCAGCCCCACAGTATGCTCTCAGCGCTGATGGTCAATACCATGCTACCTCCCTAGATTGGGATGCATGGAATAGGCTGATTGTCCTGATGCCTCTCTGCAGCGATGATGCAATCATGAAGGGTTCAATTCACATGTAACGAGTAATGGATTCAGCAGGGTACGAATGGGTGTCAATGGCAATGAACAAGATGATTGCAGTTCCCATGATTCCAGAATCGGATCTGGTGAAGGAGGATCAAGATATGAAAACACGTGTGGAAACAGAGCTTTGTGGTGTGCAGACAACAGAGACAAAAATATCAAGGAATTTGGATACATCTTCATTCAATAACGACACTGAACAACTCTACTCAAGGGAAACGCTGCATGCAACATAAAGCAATGATTATGCTCTAATTTCAGTATTGGGGATTTTAAAATGTGAGTTTTTGCTTTAGCTATTAAAAGTGTGTTAATGAAAATAAAAGTGTGTTAATGAATCAAAATCATGTTTCTCTTTGTAATGTAGTCACTCAAAGGAAATCTGTTTTTCTCGGGAGATTTGTCACTTTTACTATCAAAAGTGGCCATTAAGTTATTCCTCCTTTTACACTTAGTCAACAGATTGTCTGGTCGATGACAATTTCGAATAACATCAAGTGTTTAACCATTTAACTCCCATGAGTGACCGAGACCAGAATTTCTCCTTACAATGTCAATACAATATCAACCAGACAAGTGATGAGAATAAAGAAAAATATCAATTTGGGGATAATTAGTTGATCCAATACTCAATTGTCTGAACTAACATTATAACAGTTATATGGTTGACAGTAGGCAGAATTACAAATTTGGTGTAGGAGTTAAAGGGTTAAGAACCTTGCCACACAGGCTACATTTACCTGAGTGGGCTTAATCATTCAAATTCAGTTGGTAGAGTGTAGGAAAAAATGCATGTAACCTGATATTCCATTTGATTAAGCTTAGTTGTCATGCAGCTATACAAAGTACTTGTTGTTCTGCTCCCATTGACACCTGAACTGCAACGTAACCACCCATGTCATGCGGTGGACTTGTGTGAGAGATCCTTCCCCCACCTACCCTCCTAAGCATAGTTTTGTCCCTAAAGTTCCTCTGTTGTAAGAGGATCTATAAACCAATTGGGATCTGTCTTTTGTGCAGATATTTTGATGACTCTAGGGGGTACAAGAAAGGCATCATTTTATGTGTTCACAAGAATTGATCAAATGTGAAATCAAAGGACACTGTGAATAAATCGTGGGTACATTAGGTTAGAATGAGTTTTGAAGATAAGTAAACTCCTCTTTACAAAAACATACACTTTTACATGTAAACATAGGCAGCCAGCGGGTAACCCTCGGATAGAGTTGAAACTACTCAGAATTACCTTTAACTGCTAGGGTAATGTTGGATGGACAGTTAGAATTCACATTTTGGCTATTGTTTGACCTACACCATTCCTTAAACTTAACTTTTTGCCGTTAAATCATATACTACAGCAGATTTCTGACATAAAATTTGTATGAATGTGCTTCAGGTTGTGAATGAATAACTTGCTCCATTCTTGTATAACATGTGTATTAGCCCATGTACCCTGGTGTGAAATGTTGGCTAAATACCTTGGCCACTAATGGTCTGTACTACTTTTGATGAATCTTTCTGGATTGTTTGTGATATATTTAACACCAGTACTACGAACATTCATGTGATAGTTAGGTTTACCATACAACTGATGAAACACAACTCTTAAGAAACAATCACTTGCACCACGAACATCTGATATTCTCTAGCCATGTTGAGCTAATCGAGATTGTAAAATTACACTTGTTTGGTTATTGTTTTTCAATGCCGAGGGAATTTCAACTTTATGGCGTGTTTCGAAGTGATAATCTTGAAAAATCGGATCGAAAGAGCATTTTAAGTTAAAGATGGTGTAAATCCCAATGAAAAAGAAGGTAGGAGAAATAAAATTTCGCTTTCTTTAGACTTGATAAATGTGAAAGATAGCCATAACTTCTCTATCGGTGTTTCGAAACCTTGATTGTTTGTAGCAATACCTTGATAGCCATAACCTTGATAGCCATAACTTCTATATCGATGTTTCGAAACCTTGATTGTTTGTAGCAATACAACTCTACCGAAACTTCAAACTGTATTGGTTTTATTTTTTTCCAAATTCTGTGCTTCCAAATCGAGGGGTGCAGCTTATCTACGGATGCGGCTTTTACATGGACGTTTAAGGTAATTAAGATGGTTTGGATTATTTCCTTGAGTAACAGGTCCCGGGTTTAACTCGATATCTCCTGAAGTAAGTAACTTTGCCTTTGAAACAAAATACTTTATTGAATAACAAGTACAAATTCATTATGAAAAATAACTGATACTTCACGTCTTTTTATGCTTTGCAGTTCTTGTTTTGAAAATATAAACAAGACTAATAGCAAAATACAACCTTAACCCTTATGCACGAGTGATTCCAACTGGTTTACCTCTAAACATTCTGGTTTTAAGATAGTGATGGTAATCAAGCGATAAAATCGTTTTCAACGCTGACGAATGTGGTAAACTTTGCACAATATGAGACCTAGCATACCTCTTAATTGCTTCACTCTAGTTCAGTAAGTTCAGATTTTTTTTCCACTGCAATCTTGATGATTCACCATCACGACGGACGCCTTTGCTGATACGATTGGACTTTGACCTACTTCTTCGATTCTGTATGATTTCTGTGACCATCAGATCAGTCTTCTGACTGCGTTTCGTTCGGCTTGGCCACAAGAGTGTTTTGGTTGGATATTATGGACTGATCAGTTATGCTACTGCTAAATGTTTCTAATGTCTCTGTTTAACCTTATGTTCGAGTGCTCATAGGTTCCCTCGTGAGTTCGATCAAAGTTTCGCTGGTAAGGTTCACTATTTATAAACCCCCTGTGAGCTTGGAGGATCGACGCGCAAACGTCTTGAGAGGTCAAATACTCCCCGCATTCAGCGTCTACACAGCTTACTACCACATGCTTACTGCGACGAGTATACGTCGAAACTTTCTCGAAGAAAAGACGAATTCTAATTCACCGTCGCGGCATTTATTTCGGAAAGTCAACAGACGCGTCCCGGTATTATTTCGAAAAGTCGATATCAATAGACCTTTTTACCGTTCCCAGCGCCATATTGGAAATGCAACCGCGCACACGTGAGAATGAGGCTGGGGTTGACTCGCGTTACATCTCTGTGAGTGCTTTTGGTGAAATTCGTACGCGGGCAGTAAAATTGTTCGATTTTTAAGGAAAATGGATGGTCCTAGCCGAAATCTCGATAAAGCTAATTTTTCTCCCAAAAAAGAAAGGAAAGCAGTGTGCCGCTTTTGGTTGTTCAAATACATTTTATGGCACCAATGGTTTGCCTACGAGCTTTCACTTCTTCAAGTTTATGCACGCAGGCATGTATTTTTGCTAAGTATTTATCGTTCTATACTTATCTTATTTTCTGTAAATTATGGATGAGCGTAACTATTGTTGCAAAATTAGTACAAATTTTCTAGTAGGTGCCTGAATTGTTTTAAGTTCAGTAGAGTATTTTTTATTTCGGCAGCAAGTCAAGAAGTTCAGTGCTAATCACTTGTTTACTACAAGGCTTCACTAAAACACTCCCAGCAGAGAAACTCTTGGAAAGTAATTGCTTTTAATAAAATAACCAAGACACTGTATCTTCAGAGTTTTCACTTATTTTGGCACACCCAGGAAACTGACTCAAATTTGGTAGCAATTGTGACAAAAGAAGTTTTCAGTAGTTGTTGTTTTTGTTTTTTATGATAGCATAGCAATCCACTATGGATGCCACATGGAACTCTCAAAAAATATTTTGTGTGCTTTATGTATCAATCAATTCGATGCTTCAAATTGAAAAAAAGAAAAAGTGAGTTTCACCAACTAAAAGAGTTCTTGACAAAGAGATGAACTATGACACTAAATTTTATTATTCACAAAATTGTCCTCATAATAAAAAGTTTGATAGAAGTCTCACAAAAAATAATTTCTCATACATTTCGATGGTCTGAAAGATTCTCTTTCAAACAAATCAAATGGTATCTATAACAGGATAAAATATCTTGATTTGGATATATTTCTCAATCTTTAAAGTACCTTCTTTACATTGCAAAATTATATCATAACATTGGTTAACACATGCAATAAGAACTAGTATAGCAAACTTTTGAGTAGGAAGGCCTCTGAGTGCTAAGAATGGGAATATTAATTCACTGAATGTTTGTCACCCCTGGAAACTTAAATGTGTTTAAAGGACTAGCATTGTTGAGATCAGTAGCTGAGAGGAAGCATTTCTGTTCTCTTCCTTTAACCCTTAAATACCCAAGATCTGATTGTCAATTCTCCCTTCTAGTTGCTACACATTTAATTGTAAATAAGTTATGAGAATTTGATGTAAGATCAAGATAACTTCTGCCTGATAAGTTTCAGTATTAACATCTGTTTGCTGGATAGTTTTTGGAAAAGTTACATGAATCAGTCACTTCTTTGAGTTTTTAAATTGTCTAATATTTTGGTCTAATTCTTTCAATGGTGTCTTGCCACCTAATAAATTACCATGAGTCGCAAACTGAAATGGTTTTCAATGTATCACGAGTATAAGTTGTCCTGAACCAGATGGGTATGAAAATATTATGACATCTGTTAGTTACAGTTTTCCTCATGGGTTGATAGAAACAAGGGTTGTAATCAAGTGGTTCTACGGGCTCTATTGTATAGTTTCCCATAAGATAAAGTGTACAAATGGCAAACTAAAAGACATCTTGGTGAACAAAATGGGAAAAACTTTAACTGAAGAATATGGTATAACAACAAGTACCACATCAACAACAGCAGCAATAACAAATCTCCTCTACCTAGAGCGCTGCAGCGGTTGCCTTGCTTTCTAAGCCATCCTGAACAGCTTCTATGGTACTTCCTGTAATGCGTTCTTCTCAACACGATGTGGTGATATTCTCATGAAACAACGGGGTAATCATAAAGCTTATTGAAATTCATCTCAGGTAAATTACGGAGATTACTCGCCCATCCAAGGGCTGAAATCCTTACCATTGTTACTTCGTATCTGAAGTCGCTCTGGTTTTGTTCTAAGTCCTGGACATCTGTAAGAAGTTCTCGGATGCAGCTATACAAGGAACTTGTTGTTCTGCTCCCATTGACACCTGAACTGCCCGTAACCCCCCTTGCCATGGGGTGGACTTGTGTGAGAGATGCTTTTCCCCCCCTACCTACCCCACTAAGCATAGTTTTTTCCCCTAAAGTTCCTCTGTTGTTGTAGGATCTATAATGACTCTAGGGGGGTTCTAGATAGGCATCATTTCATGTGTTCACAAGAAATGATCAAATGTGAAATCAAAGGAAACTGTGAATAAATCAGGTACATTAAGTTTGAATGAGT